ATAGTTAGGGGTTCTAAGAAAAAGCTATGTACTCTCCAACGTAATTGGTTGATATTCAGAGACTAATTGTAAGGCCAACTCTACGAGGGTTTATTGAGTGCCGATCAAACTCAACATAAAAGGTCTAGATGGCTGTTTCGCTTCAGAATAGGAAAATGCACCTTTGCTGGGCTAAATATGTGAATAGTATAGATTGGCCCGGAGTTTCTTCGGCATCTATAAGCTAGGGATAGAGGCCTTGATGCCTGAATTCGGCCCGGCAGAAAAATGACAGCTTAGTAATCTGTCAGCATGAGGCAAAATGAGGCTTTTGGCACCATACAGATTCATACATTCTATTTTTCTAGGTGATTTGCACTCTCTGTCATGTACGAAAACAATTGAGTAGATTTAAATGAACCAATCGTAGGATTTAGAATAACCCACCTAGACTAATAGAGATAATCAATTTGTATAGCGCCAAAGCTTCATATCCATGGGGTGCAAATATATCTAAAAGCGGTCTAAATGAGGCATCAAGGCCCCGATATGTTCTTCGCACGGGATATTGCAGTCGTGGATAGATATAAAGGGTGTCACGGTGTCACAGGACTCATGCTATTGTCCAGCAGAAATTAAGAAGAGGATTTAAAAGATGTCCCTGAGTATTGCAGATGTATATAATTTAGTTATATTCTATATTGATCCTGTCAGGGGTATTGGGACCTGATCCAGTTCTGCAGAGCCACGGGAACAAGGTTGGGGAAACCAAGTTTGTTTTTATTAGTTTATATTCGATTCGATTCTTTTTATATTGTACTATTCGATATCAATACAATCCAATTGAGGGTAACTGCATATAAATCAGAACTTCCTGAAGTTAGTCCGCCCCCCTTAACCCACTCCTATTCTCCCCCTTTTAATGTTTTCTCCCATACCTTGCCTGGATTCACGTCCTTACCTTTCATTCCTTTTCTCGACGCTCTTTTAACCCTTTTATTTCCGTTTCTCGCTGCTCGCTTCTTTTCGGCTTTAAGGATTATTTTATATTTTTTTCTAAAAGGAACTAGTCGCCTGTCAACTGTAAACTCTTCCCCGATTCCCCCAGTCTGACCCCCTTTTTTTTTTTCTTCAGGCCATTTTCCCTTTTCTTAACCTCTTTAAGCTAATGACTTTGTAGTTTTGCATTTGCATTCTCCTTCTCTTTCTCTTCTGCGTGGGGGATATACATATAACTGGCATTCTCTACATACAAAGAAAGGACAGGTTTGTCTTCCCCATTCCCCAATCCCCAATTTCAACCCTGAGTGAATAAAAACATTCCAATTGACTTGTGAACTTCTATTTAGACACGTCTCCATTTGAAAAAAAGATCTTCTTCTTTTTTTTTTGATATTATTCCCTTCTTCTCCACCCGAATCCTCCCTATTTTTCCCTGTGATCTTAGCTGTGGGGACCCATCTCCTGAATGGTGATCTGATAATCCTCCCTTTATTTTTTTTCCCTTTCTCCCCCCCCCCATCAGAGCTCAGTCTGGTAGTCAGGGCCTCTCATCCCCCTGATTAAGACTAGGTTCTTGTCTTAGGACAAGTGTTGGATTTCTCTCGCCATGCAAGCCTCGGATGTATCGAGCATCCCGAACAATTCGCGTCTAATTCATCCTGGGTCTAAATACGCGCTGAACGGTGACACTGGCTTTTCTCACGGAGCGTACAACAACAACCACCCCAATCATATCCAAGGATTCTCGGACCGGAATACGCGTCGCGCCAATATCCCCGCTATAAACACTGCCGCCGGCCAACACTCCGATATGGCTTCCGGCTTCGATATGAACTACACCCCCCTGCTCCCTTCCCAGCTGCTGGTAGGCAGTCCCTTCCAACCAGGAACGCCCTCGGCTTTTGCTTCGCCGCAGTTTACCAATTTCGGTGGCTTCTCACAAGCCAATGGCAATGGACACTCCCAAAACAACCAGAACCATATCCACAGCCCTACGCAAGGAATGCAGAACCATGGTTTGTATGGCATGATGTCACCTGACGGTATGGGTATCTCCCAGATGATGGGGCCGCAATCGCCGATTAATGGTCTTGGGATGGGCAATGGGGGTCTCGGCAGCCCCCAAGCGTCCGTGGCCCCGGGCATGCTGTCGGGGACCAGTCGCACCGTGTATCTTGGAAACATCCCGGCTGAAACATCTGCCGAGGAGATTTTAAACCACGTGCGTAGCGGTCAGATTGAGTCGGTGCGCCTGCTCCCTGATAAAAACTGCGCTTTCATCTCCTTTTTGGATAGCAGCTCAGCCACTCATTTCCATTCCGATGCCATCTTGAAGAAGTTGGCCATCAAGGGAAATGATATCAAGGTCGGCTGGGGTAAGCCGTCGCAGGTTCCCACCTCAGTTGCCCTGGCTGTTCAACAGTCGGGCGCGTCGCGTAATGTTTATCTTGGAAATTTGCCCGAGGAAACATCCGAGGAGGATCTGCGGGAGGATCTGGGCAAATTTGGGCCCATTGACACCGTCAAGATCGTCAAGGAGAAGGCGATTGGATTCGTCCATTTCCTATCGATCAGTAATGCCATGAAGTCTGTCACCCAGCTCCCCCAGGAGCCGCAATGGCAAGCGCCAAAGCGGGTGTTCTACGGCAAGGACCGTTGTGCGTATGTATCCAAGACTCAGCAGCAAAATGCTGCCCAGTTCCTCGGCATCGCACCCGGGTATGCACATGTGCTGAACACGGCGGATCGTGATCTGATTTCTAATGCCCTTGCACAACAGTCTGTTGCCGCGGCCGCCGTGGCGACGACAGCAGGCGGTGTTAACAATCTCGGCAACCGCACCATTTACCTCGGAAACATTCACCCCGAAACAACGATCGAAGAGATCTGCAATGTCGTTCGCGGAGGCTTGCTACACCATGTTCGGTATATCCCAGATAAGCACATTTGCTTCGTTACATTCATCGATCCCACTTCGGCCGCCTCCTTTTACGCCCTGAGCAACCTGCAGGGACTAATGATCCACAACCGGCGCCTGAAGATTGGATGGGGCAAACACTCCGGCCCTCTCCCGCCCGCCATTGCGTTAGCAGTCAGCGGCGGTGCGTCACGCAATGTCTATGTTGGTAACTTGGACGAGGCCTGGTCGGAGGAACGCCTTCGCCAGGACTTCTCGGAGTATGGTGAGATCGAGTTGGTGAACACGCTGCGCGAGAAGAGTTGTGCCTTTGTCAACTTCACGAATATCGCCAATGCCATCAAGGCTATTGAGGGAATGCGTAATCGGGAGGACTACCGGCGGTTCAAGATCAACTTTGGAAAGGACCGCTGCGGAAACCCACCGCGTCAAGCCGGAAACAACCAAAATGGACAGAACCGCAACGGAGGCATGGAAGGCCAGTCACCACCGTCCGTTCTCAACGGATTCCAGCAGAACCTCAGCCAGTCTGGCTCCCAGTCAAGTCCGACTCGCCCTGCCCTTTCCCCGGCATCGGGATCAACTGGGTCGCATAACGGACAGCATCGCCACCCGCTGCAGAACGTGACCTCTCCTTCTGGGGTCCTGAATATCGGCTCAAGCAACCCGTTGACGATGTACCTGAACCAGATGTCTGCTCATCAGGCCCAGGAGCAGGAGAACCATCTCCACGACCATATGGCCCTCTCTGGTCTACAGGCGCAGGCACAATCACAGCAGTCAATGTATAACAGCGTCAGCAACGGCGACATGAATGGACACATGGACCAGTCTATGCACCAGCACAAGTCCTCCAACAGCTACCTGAGTGTGGCAAATGGATCGGGACACGGCCACCACGCAAGCACCAGCAGTCTGAGCGTGCCCCGTGCTTCGCACTCACGGGCTGTCAGCCTGCCCTCATTCTCCCAGGAGCCCTTCGGACCTGTCTCTGGTCAACCCCACCCCCGCACAGGTGCCCACCAGCCTCAGAGCAGCTTCTCCAGCTTCTCTGCCCTCGGTGGACTGAACCACTCAGGATTTGGTCTGGCTATTCAAAACGAAAACTCGCTGCCCGGCTGGGCTGAAGAGGAGATCGGAGCCAAATAATTATATGCGCACTCGAGGATGCAACCTTCGACTCTTGTCCTCGGTGACCCTAATGCCACTTTATTCTCTCTTCTTACATATAGTCCCTTCTGATTGTCATGTCTTTCCTCCCCCCATTTGATCTGATTCTTTCTTGTATTGGTCATAATCTTTTTACCTTTCTGACTCTTCGCTATTCACTTTCACTTTCACCCCTTGTCTTTTCTTTACTTTCTTACTTTTCTTTGGCTTTTTGGATTTCCACTCTTCGTCCGGACATATTCCGTTCGCGATTTCTATATTCCCCTATTAATCCTTTTGCATACCATCTTGTCTTACCACCTTGTATTGCTAGTTGGCCCTGAGTCTCTTCCTTCTTTCTATCTTTGAACTTTTTCTATCTCTTTATTTTGCTTGGGGCTGTGAGTACGTCGCATGTTTCACTGGATGATGACCATGGAGAGGGACGAGTCGTGGCGGCGATTATATCGCATTGCATAGTGACCACTTGGGACTTTGGTCCTATTAGCAGAAAAATGGCCATCTACCCAACTTGGAACATTAGTTAGAAATGTAAATGATCATCTATCTATAATAGATCAGGCACATTATTGCGGAGCGAAGCGAAGCAATTATACATGAGAACAGAATGCACCAGTCAATTGGAAGAGTCGTAGATCGTCACCGCAGTTCTATAGTTTGCGGCTAATTAAAGACATTGTATGGAGTAGTTGTATCTTAATTGTAACGGCTCTAATATCATCTTGGCCAGATTAGGGGCTGATCTTGATTGATTCTGATATAACAATTCAGTACTCCGCCCTCTTAGTTCTGGTGTCCGGACTCGTGACATCTATATTCAGATCATGTGATCATTCAGACCAAATGCGGTAAAGATCAGACACATCAAACTGAATGCTTCAACCTTCTCTCCCCACAATCCACATCGCAAAATACATGCCAACTTGACATCATGGCGCTTCCACCCGAGCAAATCAACATCAAGCGTCGGCGCGAGGAAGAGCCCGTCGAAACCCTATGTACGAACAATTCCCGTGTTTTTTCCCCGCGATGTAGACCCATCCAAAAGATACATAATATCACGGAAACGGTCCCTAGATCAAACCTCGCCCGCCACATTGACCACCAACACTAACCTACCCAGTCATTCAATCCGCACTCCACCAAACCAAGCGGCGCTTCACCGACTTCGTCTTCCACAGAGTCACTCTGAAAGCCAGCGCGAAGAGTGCAGATGGGAGTGCAGATGAACCCGCAAGCCCAGCAACACCAGCCGCGCAACGGCTCTTGCGCGCCCCGCGCTCAGTAAGCAGTCTCCATGTAAACCGGCGCGCGCCCGCATCCTCGACGGGCGTGCCCACAGTGCGGGCCACGTCCCCGGGAGCCGAATTCCGCGAAGCGCAGCGCATCGCAGCCGTCCGCAAAGAAGCGGAGGAAAAGCACAAGCGTGCCGTCTACGGGGGTCCTTCTCCTTTCACCGACATCCAGCCCGGCAGCTCTGCAGCTACTACCACTAATGAACCCGCAGTGCGTGACAGCAGCCCGGCATCAGAAGAGACATCCTCGACCCGCGCGCAGGCCCTGCGCCGGTTCCAGATCTCGCGCTCGAATCTCGACTCGCTGAGAAGTTCGCCTGGGGGAATCCAGAAGCGGCGCACTGGTGGTCCTGCGCCGGGTGTGGCTGTTCTGGTTGAGCAGCTGCAGCGCAATGCGCACTCGCGCAAGGCGTCTATGGTTTCGGATATGGTGGCGGAGGCGCAGGCTCTCGCGCTAAAGCCTAAGGAACTTGTCCAGGATAATACGCCCCCGTCGCCGGTTAAACCGCGCAAACGGCCTGTTGTTAACCAGGCTGAGAAACGGTGGCGCGAGGAGCGTCAGGGTGCTGTCTCGGCTGCGAAGCAGCGTCTGTCTGAGACGTTGGAGAAATCCGCTCAGACACAGCACAGGAGCTGGGAGCAAGAGTCTGAACGTCTGGCTCATGATTTCGAGCAGATTGCGTTGGAGCTTGAGCGGGAGGCTGAGCAGGATTATGGCATGGATATCGATGTGAAACCGGCCCCTCCGCCTGCATATGTACAGCCTGATTTTAGCACGGCTCCTAAGCCTCCGTTGAAACACCAGCCCCGGCAGCCCAAGGAACCCAGAGTCGCGGTTACACCACCGCCGCAGACTGAACAGGCTGTGGAGGAGGATGACGAGGACGACTATGTCTACGACGTTTACGTGCGCCGTCCGCTATCAGAAGAGGAGATGCTGAAGAATCCGCTCGCTGAATTCGAGTCCGACCAGCAGCAAAAGGATCTCGCCAAGTCTCAGCCTGGAGTGGGTGTCATTGTCATCACGGCCGAGGACGAGGAGATCTGGGAGGATTTTATTGAGAATGACGAGGAGGAGTGGGATAGCGAGGATGCGGACTCTAATGGTGTGTGATGTTTCTCCCTTCTTTGCCTTCTCTTTGTCCGCTTTCGTTTTCGTCCCCTCATAGACCTCCACTGACCATCTACAGCCGAAAACAACCCAGCCAACGATTACCCCGATGAAGAAGCGTCGTCCGATGAGGATGATTTCGACTTTGACGATTCAGCGAGCGAGGATGGCGGGTCTGGGTACATGTCTCGTTACCGCGAGCACGTAGATTCAGATGAAGACTACTGATCTGCCCGCTATGCGACACTGCCGTTGTCCCTCTATCTTGTTTTGTTCCACGTCCTGATCGAGCGTTTGCTTTATTTTACTCCGAATACCTACTTCATATTTCTATCGAATCAACAAGCCTCGTGCTACTTTTTCACTTGTCGTAGCTAGCTGCTAAGAGCCAAGACCTGATCAATTACATAAAAGATACCTTGGGCATCCCGCGGCAGGAGAAAAAGACGGCCAGGACTAATATTGAGACTCCCAGGTATATCCACATGCTACGCACACTGGACTAAAAGAGGAAGGTATATGAAGTATGAATACGCCAACGAGGGCTGCATCGATACTCTCGGTATACGATACCTAGATTAGACAATCGTAGAGTTACCTGGAGTCTACACGAGAATCCTCCTGGTGCATGAATCATCCATATCGATACACTCCCGTCTCATGGGATAAAGAGATATATCCCTCATTCCTGGGGCGTATGTTGTAAACAATCAGGATCAAAAGCAAGCCCCTCCCCCCACCAACGATCCAACATGGAAATCGAAACCCGAGACGAAAACTACAATCTACTCCGTGCACTCCTTACTGCACCATCCCAATTGCCAATTTCCAATTTTCCATCCATCTCGTCCCAGGCCGTGTAGGGACGCATACATACCAACCAAGCCGTTGGCAACCCCGTAGCTCCGAAAACCCACATCCAACCTGAATCCAAGCCATCTTTTCCCCACCGATGTCCATATCCATTTTCCAATTCCAATTCCATACCCTCCTGCCGATGGCCCCGTTCTGTCTTGTCTCGTCTCGTTTCGTTTCGTTTCACCCGAGCCCGATCGTCCCCTCTCCAACCAACCCGCGAAAAAAACAACGGGACAAAAATATCTCAAATGGCGCCAACCGACTAGTAAGACCAGACCAGACAAGACAAGAAAGTGTAGTCGGAGGATCTCCGTGAAAAAAAAACCGATCAGGCAATGGAAGTTAAAATTTTTAAAAACGCAGTCAAGGATGAAGGGTGTGTGGGCTCATATTCTCCGATCTACCCCGGAACCAACCAGAAGGGTCGGGGGTCGTTGAGGATGCGGCTTTCGCTTGTCTTATGTCGAGATAGGAAGGAGTCAGTTATCGTGCCACGTGGGTTTTCGGTGCTTTTGGATGTGATGAGATTTAGGGAGCCGGGGATGTATTGCGGGGTAGATATGATGAAGTCATTTGAGCACGGCGGGTATATACAACATAGCAGTGGTGTATGTTGTGTTGTTGGTGTTGGTGTGGTGTTGGTTGATTCGATGAGAGATGTCTATTGCTGTCTGCGCTAACTAGTGCTGTTGGTCATGTGTTCAAATATACCTGTCGGTGTGTCGATCTCTGTCTTGGTACTTGATAGTTGGCAGCGATTTAGTCTATTGGACGGAGAATCTATTTTACAGTGGTTCATCGCGTTGGTCTATGACGATTTGGTGATCCCTTATTTGGACTCCGGACTCCGTATACAACATTCCCCGTATAGTTAGTTACTCCCTCATGGACTCCGTCACCGGTGTTTAGTCCACTCCGAAAGCCGAGATCATACACGGTACGAATCAGTCGGCCTGCATGCGACATAGTGAATTGTGCATGCAGGAGATCTATCCTATAGCGGTCACTAGGGTAGCGCTCTAGGTGTCGGTATCAGCGCTATCCAACATGTACAACAGCTCGACAAATAGGATCCAGCTGATATATTGCAATGGCACAATCCAACGGCGCTGATATATAATAGCCTTTAGAGGCGCAGGGCTGGATAGATATCTCGACTGATCAAAATAGGCAAGACAAGGCTACCAACCCCACTACATCCTGCAGAAATAGCCCCATTTCTACCCGGACACACGGCCTAACACATGCAAAGTCGCGAAGATCAAGATAGAATTTAGCATGAAACCGGGCAGATCCCGTGCACGATGTACTCCGTATGTCTGTAATCTTCACGTTTGGATTTTCCCAAAAGATCGACTGAAGAATAACTCCTACGTGGCCGTAACCCACCTTGATATCATTCAGTTCGGCTACCCCGATGTGTGGATATGCAACTAGAGGATAGCTCGGTCTAGTTCCATGGTTGGCCTTCATTTGCAGTAATTTAATGGCTGAATTCTCGTTGGGCGGATATAATAAGCGGGAGTCGATGCGAGGAGGTGAGGCTCTAAAGGAAAGAAACGAAGAAAAAGAAAGGGCTAGCGGTAATTTACGAATGAATCTTACAGTAACGCAATTACCAAAATAGTAAAATACAAAGCTCGGATCATTCCCAATCCTTCAGCCCCTTGGAGTTGGGATATGTCCTCGCTGTACTCCGTCTGCACGTCTCAAACACGAAACAACCGTGCAACGCCCCGACTGGAGAATGGATGAGGCCAAAGTCACCGACGAGAATCCGCTTTATCCAAGCCGGTCTGTTATGGTCCAATAGGAGCATTAACCATCGAACAAAGGCTGTTGCCAAACTGAGTCAAGATGTGCGATTTCGTCAGGTTCCTGTGCTCGGGCAGTCTCGAGTATCCGCTATTGATTGGGCTCGAATCTCTTGCAGCGGGGGAACGTCGGAAACAATTCGTCACATCTGTCTTGGTGGTGAAGACTTACTGAACATCTGAAGATGCCAAGTCTACTATACGATAGTGCCCGATTATACTTTGCTAATAATATTCGAGGATGGAGCAGAATGGATACGCTATACTCGGGACTCGGGTACTTTGGTGATTATACTTCAAGCTTGAGGGGGTTATTGCTGATCCAGATTTCGGAGAAATCCATGAAGAAACACTATCGACTAATCACCTACTCAACTAGGTATAGTCCCTGATGCAGACAGTGTCTGATGTCGCTAAAAGAAATCACGCAAATACGACCTCAACTCAAGAGATGCTACACACCAAATCATGCCCCCACTCCTATCTGAACCACTCATCGCTCACTATCCAGCACTATCCAGGCAACAAACCCCCGAGGCGACAACATTAATGTCCCGAGATCTAATTCCAACATCCAACGGCGCAAAGTCAATCTATCGCCGAAACGGAGTGCAGAAATAGCTCACGCCAGAAGGCCCGATCCCGGAGCTAATGACCCGGGTCTCTGGCTTCGGTGTGCTGATGGCATTAGTGCTTCCATTGTCGTCAATGCCCGAGGGCTGATTGGTGTGGCTGGGGCAGGAAGTAATACGCACGTGCGGTATTGAGCGGTGTTTTCACCGATATTTACAGAGTGACTGTTGACTGCTTCGGGCTGTATACAACATGAATGGCAATGGCAACGCTGGACTGATCACCGGTCGCTAATGATCACAAGTCGGAGCGGTGATGCCATTGATGCTATTGCTGTTCACGAATGGCGATAATTCCAACTGGGTGACTGTTGGGCTTGTCCTTTTCACTGTCTTTTTTAGTATTATATATTTCCTTTTGAAGGATCCTCCATATCACATCTCATACACAACCTCCACACACACGCACGCACATCCCGGCCACCCCTTCTTCCCAACCCACATCACATCCAACCACATTCCTAACCCTGCATTGCAAACCCACTTCCCCTAGCCCATATGCTTTCCCATCGTATCCCCGACGACGCCTCATCATCCCACCGCATATCCTTCGATCGGCCGCCGTGTGACAGATCTCCCATGTCAGATCCGGCCGCCAGGGCTGATCGGAACCCATAGTGGAAATTTCGAAATTTCGAAATTCTGATATTCGGCAGGATCCAGTCCGTCTCCACAATGACCATTACAATGCGCGTTACGGAGCAGGTATACGAGTGATCTTCCGGAAAGGAGACGATAGGCCAGATCCATACAATAACTTTGTTCTCCGCATATACCCGGGGGAAGCTCGCATCCACGCCCTATCAAACCGCGAGCCGAGACGGGTGTGTTTAGCCGGGGTCTTGTGGGCCTATCTAATTAAGATCTGCTGGTTAGTGTGTTTAGGTGGGCTGTATGATGTATATCAGGTGTGTGCTCGTACGAGTACGGAGTACTGCACGGACACATCGTTTGAAGAGTCGTAGTGGAAATAATATGCTGCTGCGTACGAGTATATCGTACCTATATGGTATGCCGTGTAACCATGACTACATATGTGTATGGATCTCGGATAAATTATCCAACTGGAAACCTAAACCCCTATACAATCAGATTAGAACAATAACAGCCAAGACGGAGAACAAAAGAAATAGATCATCTGACATGAGAATAAGCACAGCCTCCGCCAGTTCGTCACGAACCACGTGTGACTAGTGCTTATACGTACTTCTCAACACTCCACCAGGAATAAGCGATGCTTGGCTTTAGATAGTAACATGACAATAGCGCCGGATGATAGCCCTACTTCGGGCACAATATATATTTATATACTCTATCTTGATAACCACCGGGGAAACCATACGCGAAACCGAAGTATACCCACATCGCCTGGCACTGAAGAAGATCGACAAGGGAAGTAAATACCCAATCCTGTAGCATTTCGAGGGATAAGACATCAGGCAATATCATGTCGTATTCCTGTCCACAGTATAGAATTCAATAGAGGGTTCTTGTGGATATCGGTCCTACCAGCTCAAGTGTTGATATCATGACTTGGGGATCCACGCAGCTGAATGTCAATATAAAGAGTTCAGTTCAAGCTGGTTGATATTGCCAAGGTAATATAACATCATTGCCCCGATGTGTATTAGCGTCTGGGCACTGGATACATAATCCTCAGTAAGCAGTAGCGAGCGTAACAAACGTAATGAAAATACCAAATACAGCGAGCCACCCATAACCAGCTAGCTCCGTATCCTTCTTGCCTTTTCGGCCGGGGATCCCCATTCGCTGCTTCGCTTATCATTTCTTTGAATTTGCGCGTCGATCGATTCCAGAAGTGTGGCGGAATCCGGCGTCCAAACGATTTGTAGAATTCGGAATTCTTTGAGCTGCTCAGGTCAAAACGGAAATTACTAAAATCCGTGTCTCGTTGCCCTTTTTTCTCTCTTTTTGCGCGTGTCTGGCCGGGGGGGGGGGGGGGGGGCCCCCAACGGGAAGAACAAGCCCCAGAGTAGTGAGTGGCCGAAAACCCCTGACAGGCGAGGTCAGAGCCCAATCGGCCCCCCGCCCCCCTCCCCCGCCCCCCCCCCCCCCCGCCCCCCCCCCCCCCCCCCCCCCTCCCCCCCCCCCCCCCCCCCCCCCCCCCCCCCCCCCCCCCCCCCCCCCCCCCAAACTGACTTCACCTAGACCCTCTTCATGTCTTGCCGAAAAGTCAGATCTCGGATCTCCTTCAGACAAAGGTGACAGACAGCACTCCGTACTCGGTACCTATGTTTCCCTCGCGCTAGGCCAGATACGGGAAAAGAAGCTGGAGGCACTAGTCGCTACTAGATATTAAGCTTGCTTGGCGGGTGATTTTCCCCGTTTTTGATTCGTGAGGATATTCGTACCTGGGCCAATAGTACTAATGGACGGGGGAATAAAATATAAATGGTGCTAAGTGTGAGGATGATAGCATCACGACTTCCAATATGCCCAGCGGAGTCTGTCGAGACTCGAGAGCGTCCGAAAACAAGGAAGATGATCACGTCCACTCTCGTTGCGGGTGAGCTGCGCTGGATCGAACCGTGCAGGATTCGGCCGGCCCCCGTTTAATGGATCGTTTATGGATCGTTTACTAGTTTAGTGCGAATGGCGTGGGGTCTTGGGAGCGGAGATATACGTGTTGAACTCCATACACTAATAGTGCACATCAACGTCTCCGTAATCAACGTCTCCGTAGTCTAGCCTCTCAATATGGGTACGACTTGCGTCTATATTGGATACCTGTATTACACGTACTCCGTACAACAGAGCTCCGTACATACTCTGTCGTGGCTAGTGCCAGAAATCCTAGCTTGGCACCGTGCGGCTGAAATCGACCAAAAGCCTGAATAGGCCCCATAGCTAAATAGGGGAGTCGGATCCGAAGCGGAAGCCCGAGAGGAGTTACGGGGAAGCTAAGTTTGGATTAATAATTCTATTTATTCCTGACAAATGATTATTGATTTTGAAGGATCACAGCCAAGAGATGATTACCCGGACCCATGATCGGATGTTGCAACAACTGGCGCCCGGCTTCTGCGCCTTTAGCGGGCCCCCAGTAGCCAACAACTGCCAACGTTGGGATGACCAGGATTCTCTTGCAGGAGGCTACGGTCAGGTGTTTCTGGCGCCAATGCAGGATTTACTTGGAAGTTGGTATCGACGTGTTGTCAACATATCCAGTTCACAACACAACTGCATGCTCCACTACGCCAAATCAAGCACCATGCTGCGATTGCAAACGCCCACGTCTAGTAAGACAGTATTATATCAATCTGGCAGTTCGGCGTAAGTTCGGACGATCGACTCCGATCCCAAGTTCGCTAGAAACGAGCCTCAAGCCCGATCTATGGAAGGGAGAAGGTTTCGAAAGGCCAAGGCTCCAAGGCTCAAGGTTCTAGGAACTATTTGGAATCTTCTCGGAAGTATACAGCCAATCCAGGCCAACCGGTTATGACATCCGTCAGGGGGGATTGCCGGAGTTCGGATTCGGAGGTACTGACAGATGGATAATGGATTTACGGATACAGACGAACCTTTTGTCTGGCCCATTGTGGGGGAGAAGCGAATCTATTCCCCTCTTTCGTCTCCGTTAGGCAACGGCTGTGCCCGCTTGAAACTGTGGGTTTCCCGACTGTTGTTGCGCAGTGACTGCGCATCTTCGCCGGACATGCTGGATCCTGATATCCCTACCATGTAGTATCCGAGATGCAGTTTTCGGAAATTTGCGCATTCAAACGAGTCATTTCCACCCCCCCTGTCGACGGGACCAGCCCGTTTCGAATACGGAGGCAGGAATGATAGGAAGAAGAAGGAAGAAGAGTCCAGATCTACTCTGGTAAAATGAGATTCTAGATCGAGGTCGGCCCCCAAACAATGCCCGTAACGATCTATCGGAGTTAAGAGTACTCCGTAGGTATCCTCCGTCGCAACATAACTATAAAATCCGATATGACTCAATTAATTGCGTGCTGCAGCGGGGCAGGCGGCGGCTATCGCTAACGTCTAGTAACAGGACATAGCGTCCTTGGCTGCTGACGTCTACCTTGAGCTGCAGAAGAGGCCTGGGGAACGAGAAATTTGGAATTCGAGCCTGCCGATTCGAGCTGAGGATTGCGCAAACAAAGAAAAAGTACAAAAACGTACAAAAAAAAAGGGGAGGGTTCGACACATCTCACGGATCTACGCGGCTCAGACAAAGCGGAAAAGAAACGGAAAAAGAAGGAAATAAATCAGACGTTAAGCGACTGGGGACGGTGATTGGATCGATATACATGAATTTTGGACCAATCTGCCCACGTTCTGAAATTAATTTCAAAATTAATGAGCGAATATCGTCCAATATTTTCATTTCTTTTTCTTTTCTTTTTACGTTAACCGTTGGAGCAGGATGGGCATGCAATATGCACGGCATGACTCGCGCAAATGTGACGATAATTAAACTCGGTAATTACGCCAACCATGGATGGCCACGACGTGTTGGTTCAGGAAGGAGTTGATCTTTGGGAGGGTCAAGCGTATTATCTGCATCTAATGGTTAGTGTATGCTACATGGACGGATTGCGGAGCGAAGCGAAGCAATTATAGGGAAAAGATACGAATGAAGATACAAATACAATACACGTACAGACGAAAGGGAAACATATATTACACTAGCCCTCACGTGACCGAATCTGCCTGCGGCTACGCGACTGATGAACGCCAAAAGTGTCCCGAGTGGAGAGCGGCAGACAAAGAAAACAGAGTGGGGAGGGGCAAAAGGCTGGTTTTAGCCCCCGGGGGGAGCCATGTTGATCCGATCTGCACGGAATTGGGGGCTTCAGGGACTAGGATTACCAGTGAGAGGCTTGGGGCTTGCGAAGGGGGGTTCTCGGAAGCAACGGGCCATACAGAGGTGGCCGATGGGTTGCCCTAATTGAGGATGGATTTCACGCTTGCGCAAGTTGACTGCGCCGCAGAAATACGATCAGAACGTCTTTTCTATTCCTTCTTTTTTTTTCTTTCTGGTAATTGGAGGAGATTGCGTGGATCTAATTAGAAGAGTGATATACATGATACGGTCTATTGATATGAGGTGAGATGAGAATGAGAATAGACTCAACTGTATTCCTTGAGATTAATATTTTTATATTAATTCCGTTTCAAATAGAATCGTAACGGTTAAACCGTGAAGAAAATCAAAGGAAACCGTTGGCGGCTGCAGATGACTGACGATCGGCCTGGTCAAGGCGCAGATCGAGGGAAAATGGCGCAGAGGAAAATTATTATCACGCGAGTAACATCAGGATCAGTGCTAAGACATGTATCGTCACGGATTTGATATACATGCAAGTTGACTGCGCAGGAAATCCGCTTTGTCGGCTCCCCCGAGAGAATAAGAGTATAGTTAGATTGTAGGTAAGTATATGTAGTATATAGTAGTCGTGTATTGGCAAGTACAACATACTATTGTCAGCCTGAAGAGGATAGAGCAGAACTGTGCCACGGTCTTCAAGGATCTCTCTTACCTCATAGTGCGCCTTGAAGGACAGATGTGTTGGCAGTGCCAAATCGAGCCTGCATTAGCTCCTCACGCTCATTCGTCCCGATATCCCAGGGCCATGGCGTACGTCGCAGCAACAGACTTTGCGTCTACCAATAGACGCCGCGCGTTTGTGTTGGTTCATTTTTCCTTTTCCATTTCTGCACTGTGTCTACATCTGACTTCAAAAAAAAAATAAGGAAGGGGAAAAGACACGGAGTATCAGGTAGCCCGTTACCCACTCACATGAGCAAGTTACAACGGGGACAAAGTCGTGTTGGACAGAATGAAACACTGACACTAAAGCAGAAATTGAATTGAAATTCACGAGATTCCTATTCTTCACTTCTTTTTTTATTTCTACATTATCTGATAGGTGCTCAATCGAGCTTCTCACCTAAGCGCTCATGCAGCAGGGTCCCAAAGACCAGCAATGATTCTCTCTGACTTGGATATCGGTCTCATTACGTCGATGTTCTCAACTGCTTTTTGATATACGATTTGTCATTCATCACCTCGCCTTGGCGCTAAGATTGCAAAAGGCTAAAGGTAAAATGAATTTACCGCGTGGCCCTCCTTTTTTTTTACGCATACGGAGTATGTGCATACACATATGTATGTATGCTGTATATACAATACAGAAAAAAGAAATTAGAAAGATCGTCCCGTTAAAGAAGCTCCAACCTTGGAACCCATATCACTTCTCTACAAAGAAAGAAGGATTCGAAAAAGGTTAAGGAATCGGAGTAGACCGAATTGCCACATCTTCAAAAGATATAGAATTAATAAAATAATTCTCTCCACTAACGGAGTCGCAGTCCGGTTCACCGATTAATGTTTTATATTATATTATATATATATATATATATTTATTATATTATATATTATTATATTGTATTTGTATTTTATTTTCCTATATTCCTATATTCCTATATTATTATTATATTATTCAATGTCTGGGGGTGGAACCAAACCTCATAACAGACCCCTGTTAGCCCCAGGAGCCTTGTGTATCCGCGGTACACAGCTATACAGGGGGGGCCAAAGGAACACAACCAAGACCCAGGCAGTCGGTCCAGTGCACCCAACGCTGCGAGAACTATTTTTCGATCTTTTCGCGTCCTTTTTTCCTTTAAGACGGCGGGCTGATCTTCTTTTCTTTTTCGAGAGATCTATAAACCTTGCCCGTTACCCCAAGCGCATACTATACTTCCTTACTTTCTGTACTTCCCAATCGTCCATTGGCTCTCTGATATAGACCTCTATATCCCCACTTCTACTATCAGACCTGGTCTGAGCATTTCTGGGGAGGATTCAAAGCTTGGTCTCTATAAATCCCGTCCAAAATCTACGTACTGGCCCAATTCCATATTCCAAAATGGCACACGCAGAATCATACGCAACACTGCCCGCCGCACGCCAAAGCAAAATGAAAATCGACGCCCTGCTGAACCCAGGCGACGGAGACATCTCTCCACGCTCCCAGCACGCCTCAATCCCAGCCCACCGCCACAGCTACCATTCTCACCAGCCCTCACCAAGCTTCCTGCCCGCCAGCCCAGACTACCGCTACAGCCGGAGCTACCACAACTCCAGCCCAGGCGCGCTATCCAGCACCTCGACCGTAATCCCCTCCCGGTCCCACCAAATGTTCTTCACCTACCGGTCCTCGACCGCCAGCGCCAGCGCCAGCGCGGACCCCAACCGCGCCAGCACGAGCACAAATCAAAGCTCGCTCTCCGAGCCCCCCTCGCCAAACCCCTACCACTCCCGCGAGCGCTACTCCAGCGTCTCCAGCGCCTCCTCGACCAACGGCGACCGCCGCCGGCCGCCGCGGCCAAAGTACGAGGAGGAGGAAATGTACTTCATCTGGTACCACCGCGTCGACCTGTCGCAGGAGTGGAAGGAGGTCCGCGCTGCCTTCAATCGCCAGTTCCATGATCGCCAGCGCAGCGGCTTCCAGGGCATCCAGTGCAAGTTCTACCGCTTTATCAAGGAGAAGAAGTGTCCGACGCTGCGGGAGCAGCGGCGCATGCGGGACGGCGAGTTCTTGCGTGAGGGGGCCTCGGCGGCGCATGGTGCTACGCCGAAGTATGGCGTTAGGCAGTATACTAATGTTTGGTATCCTTGGATGAGGAAGGAGGGGGATGGTGCGTTGCCGTTGCGACGGAAGTGATTTTCTTTTTTTTTTTTTTGGTTTCGGGTGGTTTCGTTGGGAGGTCAATTTGTCTGTCTTGTTTTTGCGTGGGTCGGTCTTCGTCTTTATTAAGATACCTCTGTTCAGCGTGGGAGGTCTGTTGTCGTTTTGATGTTCTCTCCTTACATATCTTCCATCTGGGTTCCTGTCATTTTCTTGTCTACACTTTCACTTTACACTTTCCAAGCTTGGTTCTTGGGGCTATAATATCTATATGTTGTGTGGAGCTATCCATGCCGTGAGAGTCAAAACATCGGGATTTAGATCTAGATATTACTATAAAAGTCGAGGTTGAATTGAGTCTGAATGTTTTCTACTTTCAATGCTTTATCCAGGAATCAGGTATTATCCTCTGCATTATTATCAAACACCTCAAGCAAATCCCCTACTTTCATCCTTCCTATTCCAAATCCCGAGCAACGCCATGGTCCATCCTCGCCTATTGATATCCAACATAGTCCAACCTCTAGTGTAATGACTGACTCGCCGTTATCGCTGCATACATATGCTAGTAGATAGTATACTCGCAACCTATCCAATTCCAAACCATTCAGACCATTCTAGCCTCTTCATCTATTCTTGGTCTGGATATTGACCCAGAACATGACTCGTAGTAGTCCGCCATACTCCATCCAACCCGCTAGTCAACACAGCCAGACCATGCTAAGGCTAAGAAAAGAAACCTATCCACAACCCGGCCAATCCCTCCGATCCGTCGATCGCGGGTCCCTGTCCTTCACGGCAAGGCGAGTGCCATCTTTCGTCTAGGTGCTCCATATCCGTCCGCCGTCGCCGTCGCCGTCGCCATCCGCCGTGCTCCGTACTAGTATGAAGATCTCGGATGTGGGAATTAGTTATCTAGTGCGATTCTGACATTTCCATTACTTGATCAGGGGCTTTTATTTGTTTTTTTTGGTGGCTTTCTTTTTGTTCTTTGTTCGCCTTCGCTTCGGCTTATACGGGATGGATGAATGGGGAAAGCCAAAGTACCGGTTTGTATTAGTTAGTTCATTACTAGGCACATATGTATAACTATGTACTTCTACTTCTAGAGCCTCCCATACCAGGATCAGGGACTTGTCAGGGGCTTAAAGAATCGCATTGTTGTCCTGGTACTTATGCTGTATGTACAAAGTACTTAGCCGTGCGTGCAATATAATATGGGACTTGGGCTTGGACTCGGGCTTGGGCCAATTGCCGTGGTTTTCGATCGGCTTCTCTTTTCGGTATATGGTAGTTAATTGTTTTAGTTACTCCGTAGTTAATCTTACTATTGTTTCCGTTTTGATCGTGACTACTCTCGCTAACCCCTAGAGATCGTCGGAAAAACAAAGACATATAAACGGGGCCGATCCTGTCAATTCCTAGCGTGCCGGGGTTCGGGACTTCACCCGCGGACTCCATCGTGGGTTTTTTCGTTTCTTTTCTTTTCTGTCGCTTTCTCTTTGACAGAAGGATAATTCCCGATTCGAGGACTTTATTTCTAGTGGGCATGGAATTGTTATTTCGGGCTGTGGGGCGGATGTAATGTAGAATACCTAATGTAATAAGGGGTCATTGATGTGTGATGTCAAGTGTTGAAGATGTACTTTGTAAATGCGTCATAAAAGGTAAATTAGGTCGCCTGTGGCGATAAAGAATCAAGAAGCATTGCCGAGGCTTGATATCATAGTATGTATGCATGATGTTGCACGATGATATAGTTAGCCCGTGTTCGCTTCCAGGGGAAATTTGGTAAATGTGCTTTGGACTCTGTACTTTGGGGGCCAATAATACGAGCTAGTTGTATAATTATGGATATTTCATTCTATTGCAAGTTGAGACTGTACGATATAGGTAATATGAAGTGTAGTATTGTGTCACGGTCCTATAACTAGGCGAGGTCATACTGCATATGGCATTTAGGGCAAAGCGTACAATGTACATTGTACTATCCTTCGTATACTAATACTAAGTAACGCAATTCAAAAACTAAAAATTAGACCTCAAAGCTATCCACATCGGTTCGACATCCCCGGCGCTACAATTCGCACTAAATCCTGAAAACTCCACATTCGACTCCATTCGACCACTGGCCCTCTTCCGCGCTGTCGAATCTCATCCGCACTAATATGAAAAGAGCAGGAGGGGCACTGCAAATGCCGATATACTTTATGACTAATTTAATTTAAAGCGGCCAATTAGCAGGCTTAAATATTATGTGCCATTATGCTTCTTTCGTCACGGTTGTGCGAGTGTAAGATCTAGGTTGTACGGTAAGGTTGTTACTGTAGCAGCTACTATATACGGTATATGTTCCAAGGGTTGATCGAATTTAATTGTTTCATTGATTATGACCTAGCAAGAGGAAGAATCACTAACTGAAAACCCATCGAAAGCAAATTGCAAGATCTCAATTCCGAAATTTCCTTTGTATCCCCTCCACTTTCATCCAAGCCATGATGGCTATCAACGCGGCCGCGGTTGCTGATGGATAAATTCCATACCCTAGTCAACGGCGAGAATGCCAGAGAACATCAGGTTGGGCTCATCCATGAAGTGGAAACCCTGGGCGAGAGCGCATCTAGTAGACCAGTTAGTAAAGAAAGAGTGAAAGTGCAAACCGGAAACCTACGGATCAATTTCAAAGCTGGCGATGCAGTCATACGCGCCCTCCTTGATGGTCTGCAAGAACTCCCAACCGTCATGGAGATCATAGAAGGAAACCTGGATGTCAATGCCAGACTTGAAAGAAAGAAAATTTAGTAAGACTCAAAACATAGAACTACTGCAAACTTACCTCAGCTTGCTTGATCATGATGCGTTCGAAGCTCTTGGCACCCCAGGCAGGGTCAGCGGCAATACCCAAGATGTTCTCGTTGTCGCTAGTCTGGAAGCCGGGGGAAAGGCCAGAGAGGCAAACGATGCGGGAAGCACCATCTTCGACACGCTTCGAAAGCTCGTTATTGTCCTTCAGGCCCTCCTCGGGCATGGTAACAGAGATAGTGACGTCGTCATCACCATCCTTCAACTTGATTCCATCAGAGTGGTTCTCATGGTATTTAATGCAGTCGTCTTGCTCAACAAACTGCACGACGACGTGGCCATCCTCACTCCAAGAGCGCTCGATAGCACCGCCGTAGACGAGCTGAAGGATGCTGGAGACGTTGGCCCAGTCAGGAAGATCTCCGAAAACGATCCGACGAGGAGGTCCGGTAGGCACAACCTTGGGTGCCATCTGCTTCTGCAGGTGGAGCAAACGGACTTGCTTCATGAAGTCAGCTGGGGCAGTAACACCTCTGGGTTTCTTGGAAGAGTCAGTAGGCTCATCCGCGACGGACTCGGCCTTCTGGGATGCTTTGGAGCCAGCGGTGGAGTCGTTGTCTGTATCCCTGCATTCACCAGCTTTGTCCTTGGATCCAGCAGGGTTGGCAGCAGGAACAAATGGCTTAGCACGCGGATCAATGCCAGAAGTCTCCTTGGCGGGGGCACACGAAGCAGGGGCACGAGGAGTGGCAGTCTCCTGAGCGGCATCAGGGGAAGTAGCAGCTTTCTCGTCCTATGAAAGACCAGTGTGAGATGGGAGTAACGAAGAGAGATGAGAGATGAGTGTTGATAAGAAATGGGGATCAAGTCGCGGGGACAAAACACGAAGAGAGAATGGAAGCGACTTAATGAAGAAGACCATAACATGTAGTGGGCGGGGATAGGAATGGATGAGGGGAAATGGGGGCATTGGGGGCATTGGGAAGAGTGAGACATACCTTTTTGGCCTGCATGGCCAGCTCAATATCCTTCGAGGCATCATACAGCTTAGGCTCCTTGAAGCCCATCTGGGTAAAACGACGAGTGGTCAGGGAAGCTGAGACCGTGTGCACGCCAGCGAGGCGATCAGCACGAGCCTTGTTACGGACATCAATAGGAGCATGGGCACTCTCCTCCAGACTGATCATGTTGCTGTTGGTGATCATCTTGTAGATGACCTCAGTGGTGATGCGAATCTCTGCCAATCGCTGCAGAGTAATTGGAGCAAGGCCGCTAGGCCCAATGACTTTGGTTGTCTCCATGATGGAACGAAAAAAGTAGCAGGATGGGGAGAGGAAAAGAAGAAGAAGAAGAAGAAGAAGAACAAAACGGAACATTTTATTTGGAGTACCCGCGTAGAACAGATGCGTTCTGTGTTCGAATTAGGAAGGCACAATTGGATGCAAGACGGGAAGGAACATTCAAAGGCTTCATGCTTTCTTAATATTCTGGCTATACTTGTTTCATTCAGGAAAGACCGGGTTAGAAGACAGACATCAAGATAGAATGGCCCGGAGTCATTCCTATAGGGCACATATTAGATATCCCACTGTTCTTTAGATGTCAGACAAAGAAATATCCTGTAAGCAAACAGCATTCTTTATTCCTCTGCTACTCCTTGTGCTTGTATTAACTTGTCTCATTGTGTGCTAGGCAATGTCTTGTTCGTCAGCTACTATACCGGAACTATAGGACAAAGGCACGTTGTGGTACCTTCCGAGAACGGTCTTCTTCAGTCTTCTTCTACTGACAGCTCTCCAATCCTGACAAGGTAGCTTCAGCTATTATAGTCTCAGTAGCCATTCTCTGCAAAACAAAACATTTGGATCTAGATAAAATAAAGAGTGAGTCGCTCTTTCGAGTCCTTCCCCTGGTCGCCGCTGTCCAACTTCATGATACTACTATAGCCTCAGTTACAGGACAACCTCACATCCATATTCTTCTGCCTCACAAACCACGCATTAACAATCTCCCATTCTGCACTAGGATCATTGAATTCAATCTGCAAAAGCCCCGGTTAGAGTCAAATCTCGTTTCTGGAACCATACTCTTACCTTGTATCTCAGAAACAGCGATGGAATCAGCTTATAAATCTCCAGCAGACTGATATTCTTACCAATGCAGGTCCTCGGTCCAGCTCCGAAAGTGAACGTCGCACGAAGCATCTTCTGCTTTCTGTCCAGGAAATTGGCCTCGGACTCGGTATCCATTTTGAGCCACCGTTCCGGAACAAACGACTCCACATCCTCCCCAAAGACCCGATGACGATGTACTATCCACGGATTCGCACCAACTATCGTCCCGGCCGGTAGGAATGGGCCGCCGTCAGGAAGCTGGAGTCCCTCGGCGGGCACAACTCGCTCAAGCATCAATCCCACGGCCGGGTGAAGACGTAATGCTTCTTTAATCACGGCATCGAGGTAAGGGAGTTGCTCTTGGCTTTGCTTCCATGAGACAGGTACCGAGATCCGGTTTTCTTTCAAGGCAATGGTGAGCTCTTGGTGCAGCTTTATACTTACTGGCGGGTTCTTGAGGGTGTAATAAAGTATTGCTCGGAGAGATATCGCCGTTGTGTCGGAGCCAGCATTCATATTGCTGATCGTATATGAGAGGACTTGGTTGTCATCCACAATAGTCGGATGCTCGTCTTTCGCTTTCAGAAAATGATCGAGAAAGTCTTGGTGTGTCTTGGCCACTGGTGTGCTTTTCTGCTTCAATCGTTCGTCTAGTCTTGCGCGAGCAAAGCGAGCCACAGCCCCGGTCGATCCCCCCGTCAAGAAGCTTCTGAGAGGGTTCTTGATGAAAAGGTAGTCAAGCCATGGCATCTGCCCGATCTAATGCCCACTCTAATTAGCTTTCGTGTCATTTATCCAACACCCAATACTTACCTTTCCGACATAGTCAAGCGTATGCTCCAATGCGACGATGATTCCGTCGACATCATTCCCTTTCTCAAGAAACCCGAGTGGTTTACTAAATGTCAATTCTCCGATGACATCAAATGCATCTTTTTGAGCTGCATCAGCTTCCGCTCTCATGTCGCGAGAAGAGTGAGACTTACAGTACTGTAGCCAAGCAGCAATATCGCAGACTTTTGCTTCAGCTACGAACTCATCCAATCTCCCAAATAAAGTATGAATGATCTTATCGACAAAAGGCTCGAATTCAGTCAGAGTACTCATTGAGTAAGCTGACGAGACGGGTCTTTTAATAGCAGCATGAAAGACTTCATCAGTTGTAGTAAATAGTGTAGGCGTTGGTCTTCCTTTGACAAGCTGCTGCTGAACAGAATAGAAGTTTGTCTTGCGGATATTAGCAGAATGATCAATCAGTTATTGCAATTTGAACACACCTTTTGATATCCTTTATTAATACCATATATTGTTTTCAGGGCATCCAAATTCCGCACACTGACCACGTTGGGTCCTAGTCGAACATAGTCCCCGTGTTTTTGGTGAAGGTTATGGAGCGTCACTTCTGAACGGCCATTGGCGACATCGATGAACCTCCAGAGGTTCGTTATCCTCGCTAGTAATGGCCCGGGGATGGACGTTAATCCTGGGTTGAGATATTTGCGCGTAAAGTGAAATATAACAAGGGTGACGAGGATGGCTGGCAGATGTGACCAGACTGAGATCAATGCTTCTGAGATGATGGCCATGATGAAGTCCTCAGTATTTTGTTGTAGTGTGTTAGTATAGTAATTACTTCATAGGCATACTGTGCATTTCCATTAGATCTGAAATGGGGGGGGGGAATGGAAACATTTCGCTCTTATATGCGCAGCACGCCTTAAGTGGTCTAGACTCAAGAGATACCAGCTACCTGTAAGCGACCACTCGGGGTGGTGACGCATACGGGTTATAGTTTGCTGGGAGTAGACGAACCAAAGTCTGTCCTAATGTGACCTACCGTAGGGGATAGCCTAGGTTTACTCTATACAAGCCTTTAGGCATTCGAACCTACCCAGCTTAGTGGCTATGCCGCGGTTTACTTACTTGCTTGCTTATATGTTTACTTGCTTACTCACTTACTTGCTTACTCACTTACTTGCTTACTTGCTTAGTTAGTATTCCCTTGCCTGAACGACTCTATTTTTTGCTGAGCGAAGGAGGAAAAATAATTATCAGCTCACAAATTATGCATTGATCTAATGCTCCTAAAGCTTTTCTAGAAAATAGCAATACACCAAAAAAACCAAAAGAAGCAAATCTATATAACAAGAATAGATAGAATGGGTATCTGATTCCACAACATCAAAATGTCCAGGTCTACGATGGGATAGGAATACTCTCGTATCCTTTCTGCCCGGGCTTACGGTCTTGAATAATAACCTGCAGGCCGCGACGACCACAATAGCCATCATTGCCCGCAACCCGATCAATAACCTGGAAAGAGCCGTTACCGTCCTGCGCAGCATCAGGGACCCACACAGTCTCCTTCACAATTTGGCCGGGGACTTCCGCACGACGGGGATTGTACCAAGGCAGACCGACAAGGTGATTGCCAAGGTTGTGGAGGAACGAGTACAGCCCCTCGAAGCGGCGAGTGACTCCTAGCCAAGAGAGAGTGCGGGAGTCATAGGCGGTCCGCACGAACGGGTTCATATAAATTCCCGTATCGGTGATCTCGTCGATGTTGGTTTGCGGGTCTTGGATGTCCGCGTGGATGAGGCAGCATTCAGACGCCTCCCAGAAGAGATCCTGTCCGGAGCGGAAGCGAGCTGGGTTAGGCGTTGTGGGTGGCGAGCCGGATTGGAAATATTTGGCATCAAATGCCACCATTCCGCCCCAGCAGCTGCGCACTCGCACTGCGTCCTTTCCGGCTAGCACATCGCTTCGGCTCTCGCCTTTGCCGGATGAAGTGAACCATGGATAGAAGGGAAGACCCATGCTGTAACCTTCAAGATCGCGGGTGGCGTATGTGTCGTAGAATTTGATAGGGTTGTCAAAGTCTACCGCGCAGGCCGCACGGTACTGGGCAACACCGTCCTCGTTGGCGTTTGTGGAGAATAAGAGCTGGGGAACCTCGGCGGGCTGGAAGAGGATATCGTTCAGATAGAGTAGCTTATCGAACTTCATCTCCGGGTGGTCGGTCAATGGCTGTAATGCTCGGTTCCGAACCTGGGCCAGATATTCGATGCGCTTGATTCGCTTTGATCCACCAGGAATGGTCACAGTCGGTATACTATTCAGGTCCAGGTGCTTTTCAGACACAATGGATTTCTGGCACTCCACTTTCTCCTCTAACGCGCGCAATGCGCGCTCTCCCTCGTCACCGCTGTCATTCTCGTAGATACTCAAGAACACATTGTCAGGACCGAGCAGATCAATCAGCACCAAGAGTTGTGTTCCCCATTGGCCCTGAGCAAGCTTGCCGCCACTATCATACAGACTTGCTGCAATAAAGACCTTCTCCTTGCGGGGATTGCCTCGTCCGGGGTATGAGCTCTCGAGTACTGATTTGCGAAGGGCAGAGTAATGCGCGGGTAGATGGGTATATGACGGGAAGAGTAGCGAGGTAAAGAGCGCGAGGACAAAAACGATGCCGGCGACGACGGGCAGGTAGCAACAGCGGCGAATACAGAGACGTCGAGAACAGCTCGGTCGTGGTGTGCCTGCGAGAATCGGTCTGGAAGTGTTGTTCAGGCGGCGATAACCCGCCGATGCCGAGGAGAAGATTTGGGACAGCCAGGGCAGTTTTCGTTTACCAAATTTGGACGAAGAAGGGACTTGAGCTTCGAAATCGGCCTCGTCGAGATTGAACGTCCCCTGCGAGTCAACTGAGGACCGCGAGGCAAGCTCCCATTCATCGGGATGCAGTAGTCGTGCAGTCATGGCGGATCGTGGTACCAAATGGGTATACACCCTTAGGCCTATCTTTAGCTGCAAATTGATTCAATAAGCTGGCACATTGCAGCTATTGTTGATGATAAAAAGCAAGCCTCCATGGAGAACTTACATCATCAATGCCATCACGTGGTGTCAGACAACTTGCGATTATTATTCTGCCGGCAATTAGATTGTCTGCCAGTAATAATTGGAAAGCACCGGGCGGTATAGCTATTACATTAGGCGGTACATGTATTGCCTTGGCCTCGGTACTCTGTACGGTGGGATGTGAATATAACGAGCCCAAATGTTTCTGGGCTTCAATAAATACGTTCTAGATCGGGAAATAAAACATTGAACAAAACAAGTAAATTGAGAGCTCTATGTCTATTTCATCATTTGGTTAACCGCAGTAGGAAGTCCCGGTATGTAGTGACGTAGCTGTCGTCCGGGCACCCATGGACTTGCCTGTTCTGTTGGCGCCTAGGCGAAATCATTTATCTTTCCGCTGAGTTATTCTCTTTATTCACTTACTAAAATCCCAATCTTCCACCTAAACCACCCACTTGACCAAGTATCCGTGGCGTGGTGATTGAATATACTTCATCTGTGAATATACCACGGCTTCCCCGCATTCCACAGCCCACCATGTCGCAATCGCAATTCAAATTCGCCAATTCTGATGCCGAAGTGCCAGGCAAAGGTGTCCTTCCCGCGGAGTTTACCATCAAAACACCAGCTTCCACAGATATTTGGGCCAAGCCACCTTCCACGATCTCCTTCTCGGCCCCGATTCTGTATAAGTCCGTGCCGCTGAAGTCATTCAAGCGGATCCGCGTCGCCGTCACTGGCCTTTGGGAGAAGAAATATGACCAGGGTGGTGTAGTGCTCGTCCTCAATACTGCTGGTGGTGGCCAGAAGTGGGTGAAGTGCGGCATTGAACTCACCCACGGCAAACCCCACCTCAGCGTCGTCGCCAAAGATAACTGGGCGGACTGGAGTTTGCTTCCAGTGCCTTCAGGTAGTGGTTCGGCAACCCTTGAACTGGTCAGGGAAGAGGACAACAGTCTGTGGATCTATCTTGTTGAGGGCTTGCAGAAGTCTCCTATCCGGGAGGTCACTTGGATCTTTGAACAGGAGAATGTGGAGGACTTCTGGGTTGGTATCTATGCTGCCCGGCCATCAACCGAGGGCGGGGAGCTTTCTGTCAAGTTCAGTCATTTGATCATAGACCAGGAATAGGTCAGCAGGACGTTGTTAGTTATATGCCTCAATAAGGTGACGATGGCCACTGCGAAGAGACAACAGTATATATGACGAATAGGAAGATTGGAATGAAGTATGTTGTAAAGTAAGACCAGTTTGATCATACGTTGCAACGGAACACGGCAGGCCATCAATGATCTATTCAGGTAGAAATAAGGATACCGGCTTGCTGCGGACATATGTACCACGGCTCCACAGAGTTCCAGGTCCACCTCGTGTATCTGCTAAAGATGACTGACATGGCGAAGATCAGCCGATGTACGGATAGTTCCAGTCAATCAAGTTGCTTTCTTCCAAGATTCATGGTTCGTTCTTTGTCATGGTGGATGATCAGCCATGCTGACGCACTTGCGGTTACCAGATGCATTAATAGAGAGGTTATGCTAATTTGAACACTGAGGATAGTTAGATTGCATATGGTTTTAGCGTTCTTGGCACTATATCGGATGTCTATTGCGCTCCTGGGCACCCCTGAATACTTATAGTGGATATATAGACTTCGGGTCCTCTTGCTGTTCTTCTTCTATCCTATATGTGTATACTACCCATTAGAGCGCATATTCCTACACCTTCCCACTGAGCTATCTGATCCTACTATACCCAGTGCAGTGTAATCCCGACAATCGGGTGTATGCGCCCACAGGCCCTGTTTCGGATGCCGAGGTCACACCAGTCGCGTGTGGATATGACACAAGTGGAGAGAAGTACCTAAATGAAAGATGCCATCCAATTATTGCATTCCTTTTCCCAATTTCATTTCCGCTGTTAAAGTATATCAAATACTACGGAGTAACTACGGAGTGCATTAATAATGTGCATAGAAGGGAAAATGATATAGCCAGGTCAAGTGACCGGCCCCGTCATTCCGGCTAACAATTCCCTAGATCGGAGGTAATAAATGACAGGGTAGCAATGCATGTCGCTGCCACATAGTGGAGACATTGTATTATGATGTAGCGAAGTGTCCTCGAAATGAGAAGAGACTCTTTGGAAACAAATAACAGAGATCAAGAGATCAAGGTTCCATCTTATCTGATGACGTGAACCAGGGAAACCGTGACTTGGCAGTACCAAAGACTCAGCTCATGCCACCGAGTGAACAAGTGTATTCAGCGGGTGCCCCTCCGCTCCCCGTGCCTGAAACTCCACCTCTTTTGCATTTTCCCTCTTGGACACATTTTCCATCTCTTTTGCGGAGAATACATGGGAACTACCTGGGCAGTTCAGATCCCAGAATGATGACTGGATTGCAACGTGACACTGTTTCTTAAACTGTCCTGGTGCAGCAACCTGGAATGCTAGAGAGCGAGCTGAGATCGGACCTCAGCCTCTCATCTCACCTCACTACACCACAGACCCCATCAGCGTGCATAAGTGCGACCGACGATCGGGGTTGGTGTGGTTTTGCGCAGACTGGCAAGCCTAAACTCTTCAAGGCCTGTTCCCCTTACATTTGGGGCGTCGCCCTCCGAAGCACGGCGGATCTACCCATCCGCCAAATCTTTTGCCCCATAGCTGCCTACCGGATTTTGCTACTTGCTTCCAATATTAATAGCCCTTCATGGGTCGACCCCCGAGGCAAGCGCGCTTCGACATCTTTTTACATATCACGCCCCATATTTATTTTCTTCTTGTCCTGTCCTAAATCAGTCTCTGATTCGCTGTTGACATCCCGTATTGTCATTTCTTTTTCTTCTCTGTGGACCTGAGTGGCTCGGGCTATCTAGCTGAAGAGCAAAAGTACTACTTATTAGAGCAGGGCTCCATCCCTTTTATGTGATACACCCGCTACTTACGTTTGATATCGCATGAACTCCTTTTTTGATGGTCTGTTTCTCGCTTAATCGTCGCTTTTAAGGTCGCCGTCTTTCGTATATGGTTTCTACCAATCCCAGACCGAACTCTCTTGCCGGTTATTCTTATATGGACCCTGTCCATTAGAGAATACTTCCAACGTATACGATCTTGTGGTAACGCGCGACATGCCGCTTCTCGATTCAAGCTCAGGACCGTCCTACGGCACTATTGAACACGGAAGCGCCAGGATGGAGGATGAACGGGATCAACTGTTGCAGGATGAATACCAGGTCGAGGGCCAGCCTAGTGGATTGTCTACACCGGATGAAGTTCAGGAGGGAGTCCAAAAGATTGAAGCCATCAATCTGACTTGGACGACCAAGTCTTTAATGGTGGCCTACGTCAGGTTCGTGTGGCTTGCAGTCCCATGCTTTCTTGCCGAACCCCTGCTGACTTAGCGCAAAGTATATTTCTCATGGCATTCTGCACGTCGCTGGAAGGTCAGACTGTGATGTCGCTGTCTGCATATGCGACGAGTTCATTCAGTAAACATTCATTGATCTCGACCGTCCTCGTTATTCAAAATGTGGTCAATGGTGAGATCTACTACCCCGCTTCAATAAGCGGCTGCTAATCCTTAATCTATAGCTGTCATCAAACCCCCGATGGCTAAGATCGCCGACGTATTCGGTCGCTTCGAGGCTTTCTGTTTGAGCATCCTTATATACGTCCTAGGATACATCCAAATGGCCGGCTCAACCAACGTTCAAACCTACGCCTCTGCCCAAATCTTTTATTCCGCCGGCTCAACGGGCTTGCAGATCCTCCAACAAGTATTCATTGCCGACAGCAGTGACCTGTTGAACCGTGCCTTCCTCGCCCTACTGCCCGAATTCCCATTCTTGGTTACGGTCTGGCTCGGACCGACTATTGCGGGCGCGGTGCTGCGCAGTAGTTCATGGCGATGGGGTTATGGAATGTGGGCTATTATCTTGCCTGCATCCTTCCTGCCACTCGCCCTCACCCTGCTCTTCAATCAGCGCAAGGCCCAGAGATTGAATTTGATCAAGAAGCGTACTAGAAAACGAACAGATTTTGTCAGCGTCGTGCGTCGGACCTGGTATGATCTGGACGTTGGCGGACTGGCCCTTTTGTCCGCTGCCGTCACATTAATTCTGGTGCCTTTAACTCTTGCGGCCTCCGCAAAGAACGGGTGGCAGAACACCAGTATTTTGACCATGATCGCGCTTGGTATTGTTTGCCTGTGTCTGCTACCGTTCTGGGAGTCTTCACGGAAACTGGCCCCGAAGCCCTTGCTCTCTCTACACCTGCTCAAGCAGAGAACTGCTCTTGCGGGTTGTGCATTGGCGTTCTGGTACTTTAGTGAGTTGATTATTCTCTCTACCTTCGAGGTGTCCCTGCTAACCCTACTTAGTGGCCTTCTACTTCTCCGTTCAACCTTATCTCTATTCCTACCTGCAGGTTGTACAAGGATATGACGTTGCCACTGCCGGGCGCGTCACCCAGACCTTCTCTTTCACTTCAACCATTGCCGCATTCAGCGTATCACTTCTTATCAAGTATACCCGGCGATACCGCATCTACATTACCATCGGATGTGTTGTGTACATGACCGGCCTAGCCCTCATGCTCATGTGTCGAGGAGAAGGAGCCTCGCACTTCCAAGTCCTCGGCACACAAATCATGGTCGGCATCGGTGGCGGTCTGGTTAACGTGCCCGTCCAACTGGGCGTCCAAGCATCCGCCAGCCACCAGGAAGTCGCAGCAGCCACTGCGATGTTCCTGACTTCCATGGAGATGGGCGGTGCAGTCGGCGCTGCTATCTCCGGAGCCGTGTGGTCCTCTGCTATCCCAAACAAGCTTCTCCGCTACCTCCCCGAGGAAAGCAAGGGCCGAGCTGCTGAAATCTTCGGCAAGCTGACCACCGCTCTGTCGTACCCAATGGGATCTCCAACTCGCATTGCTATCAACCGTGCGTACCAAGAGACCATGAACAGGCTGTTGACGCTGGCTGTCATCGCTACCCTCCCCCTCATTCCACTGAGTCTTCTCATGGTCGACTACAAACTTGACAAGGTAAGTCACCAAACCGTGGTATCTGATGATCTCCTCTGACTTGATTCTAGATGGGCTATGGTAGTCCTGAGCGGCGGGGCGCCCCGCCTCCAGTTGAGGCAGAAGTAGAGCCCAACTCGGGTGAGGGACACTCCAAACGGACCTAAACCCGGAATTCCTGTGTGCACTCAACACACAGACGATTACGATCTTACGAATTGAACCTTTTTGTGCCTTTTCCATGGCTTTTCCATGGCTTAATTTTTGCATCTCGATACAACCAGGCGTTTCGGGTTATATTCTGTTCACTCAGATTGGACGCGAGCCAATCCACCATTTGCATTCGGCGTTACTATTTACGTATTCACGGGATTAGAGGTATCTATCTTTCTACGACTGAAACAGCTCAATGGATTGAGATAGTTATCAACGCCGAAAATATGAATACCCGAGTTAGCGAAAGACTTGCCCTGCTACATTGCCCTACACATCGTAGTGATTTGTAACCTCGACAAAGATAACAAACCCACGTCCTGCCACCTAGTCAAGCATGATCCGCACACTCCAAACCTTGAAAGCGCTCCGGCGCTTCCGATCAAAATCATCACCAAAACCAGACGATTATTCCGATCCCGCCGGCTTGCCGCCCTAAGCCCCTCAGGCTGTAACATCCTCTGCAGTTACGGCCTAGTGGGTTTCATTTCCCTGAAACAGCAGAAATAAAGTTAATTCGCCCCGGTGTGGCACACCAGAGGTACTTTGCACTGACCTATGAAGATATCCCAGTCTAGTCCAGCCCGAACTTCACGCATCGCGGCCTTATATCCACTGCTATCCGTCATGCGGGAAGGATTTGGATTTGGATTTGGATATCGACTTTATTTCCAATCCGGAAAGCCTTGCTAGATTTGTAGAGGTTGAAATACGTGAATCTTTTGTTTTTTTCTTCTCCATCCAGCCTATCACCCCGCCTTTATCCAGCTCGTATACCAGGACTCTCATACGCACCACGTCTTATCCACGTATCTTACCCGTCCGTGCATGTACCTATGTACCTGCATATATATGCATGCATGCAGACCAGATACCGCGACGGAGGGGCTTGGGGATACATGAGATGGCAATTGGATCTGCCCGACACCCCTAGCATGTGCATGTGCTTACTGTCAATCAATGTATATTGTACGGAGGTATTCCGTATGGAGGACGCATCCTGCAATATATCGTCAGTTGTCAGCTGTCAGGTCATCAATCAGAACCATAGGTGACATAGGTCGCTATACTTAGATAGCTAGTAATATGAGGCACCCGCCAGGGCAAGCTCTGCCAACGTAGTGAAGCTAGTCGTGCAGAGACTGGACCTGGATCGGGCTGCCAAGCTGTGATGGAAACAAGGCACCTACGGAGAACGGAGTACAACATAGGTAATAATGAGAGCTGGATTGGATCGTGACTGTATGAAGGTACTATGGATAGTATTTTATGGTATCCATCTAGGTCCTCGGATCTCTATCACACGATGTAAAACGACGGTTTGGAAAGGGGGGGATTTAGGGCCGAGGGGAGGCCGGGGGACCGTGAATGGTGAAACGAGAATGAAATTGGGGGGTTTTTTAATTATTTCCCATGTTGCTTCTTTTCTCCAAAAGGGTGAAAGAAATAGTCGACTCGAAGGAAAAAGGGGGTAAACACCCCGGGGGTCTCCTTTTGTTCCTAGACGGGGCTTATCTTAACTAGTTATACTGAAGTTATAGTTACTTGGGGTATTATTGGGGTGATGGGTGTTTCGTACTTGCACCTGTTACTGACTTGAAGCTGTCATTCCCCTACATATCCTAAATTCGAGTCTCCAAGATACAGCAATTGTAAAGAATAGAATAGGGGATTAGCGCTTGAGCTGATATTTATAGTCGAGATACTGATACCGTTCTCTTGGCAAGTAATGAATGACATCAACAGCAAATATCATAGTGAATGAGTATTAGATCATATAGAATAGTGCAAAATATGAGAAACGACAATGCTAGATCTAAATTATCTCTTATAGAACACAATTAATACCAAGAAGCTGTTCAAGCAAGCGAGTGCTGTACAGACCGTGTATCGAAACTAGCACCGTGTCTAGACTCCATACTCTGCGGGTTGCCCCATTCAATCCAGACCACAGCTTCTTCCTCCCTTTTTGTCTCCCACACTTCTCTTCTCTAACACTCCTACATCAACACTTCTCATTAATTCAACATGGTCGTCGCTACCATCAAGTACGCTATTCCATCTCGCTTCATCTCCTCACTCTTTGCCGAGGCGAAAAAACCCCCCAGATCTCATGGCTAACCCCAACCCAGATGTGTCGTGGTGGGGGACGGTGCAGTGGGAAAGACCTGTCTGCTCATCTCATACACAACGAACAAGTTCCCTTCGGAATATGTCCCCACCGTCTTTGACAACTACGCCGTGACCGTGATGTAAGTCATCTCCCCACCCCTCCCCCCCGAGAAGAAAAAAGTTATACGTCAGTCTAGCCTCAAAGAAACACTTCTAACCGATCGCTCTCCAAATTCAGGATCGGCGATGAGCCTTACACCCTGGGACTGTTTGATACCGCCGGTCAAGAGGATTACGATCGCCTGCGCCCGCTCTCTTATCCACAGACCGACGTCTTCCTGGTCTGTTTCTCGGTGACCTCGCCCGCCTCCTTTGAAAACGTCCGGGAGAAGTGGTTCCCCGAGGTGCACCACCACTGTCCTGGTGTGCCCTGTCTGATCGTCGGCACACAAACCGATTTACGCGATGACGCCGGAGTCCGGGACAAACTCGCTCGCCAGAAGATGACCCCCATCCGCAAAGAAGACGGTGACCGGATGGCCAAGGAACTCGGCGCCGTTAAATACGTCGAATGTTCCGCCCTGACTCAGTACAAGCTGAAGGACGTCTTTGATGAGGTACACCGAGTCTTTCAATTTTGCTGCCCGACATCTCCACACCGCCACTGACACCGTATCTTTCTACCTTTCTAGGCTATTGTCGCGGCACTCGAGCCCGCGCCCAAGAAGAAGTCAAGGGGCTGCCGCTTGCTGTGAAGTTACCCTTCACGGATTTATCGCAACGGGTTGGTCCGAGTGCGACGGATAATGTTGCACTTGGGTTGATGCCTGGTTGACGCGCGCCTCGAAGCAGCTACGATGGAATGAACCTGTTTATCTCTTTTTCTACTCTTCACGTTCTATTGGGCGGCAAATATTTCTGACTGGACTGGTTTTCTGGGATATCCAAATTCAGCGACAAAAAAAAAGGGGGAGGAGTGTGGTCTTGTATTATGGCTAGCGATGCTATCTGAAGCGTTCCATATCTACGTTTTCCAGTTGAAAATGGCTTCTGTGCTTTTTCTTGACCTCCTTCTCTCTTATTTTGTCTCTGTTCGCATATCCCGGTTCGAGCCCTAATCTCTCTAGTTTGCCTTGTCCCTTTTCTGCTCTCTATCTCTGCTTCTACTTTTCTTCTTGGTTCGCCTGGCCGCATCTACCTGCCATATTCAACGACTTGGTCTAGAGCTACCTCGGTGCTCGTCTATTACCTTTTACTTTCCCCGATCCCGATCCTCTACCCTCATTCCTCTCCTTCACGAACTACAGCGACAGCAATTTTGACCTTCTTCTCCCCTTTTTGTCGCGTCGACTACACTCCCCACATATCACCTATTACCTTCTCCGCACCCGGCACTTTCACCTCTTCGGTCGTCTCTCTCGGCGTTGGACGTCAGGGCGTCGTGTTTTGGCTGGACGGTTTCCGTCAATGTTGTCCCATATCCCCCATATGCCCCTGTCCTTTTCTTCTTCGCGTGCTATTTATGTACCCCAGCTTTGCGACCCCGGACTATGAATTTGAGCTTGCTGTACCCTTCCCTTGCAGATCCGGCTTCTTCTCTGCGTCTTTTTGCTTGTGATTTCCTCTACTCCAATCTGATCTACAATCGCCATCACTCTCCATGCGCGCGGTCTTGATACAAGCGTCTTCGTTTACGTCCTTTCTGCGATCTCTTGCAGTCTTTTGAGTTATGTCTCACTAAAGAGCAACGTTATTTTGGGTCATTAGAAAGTTACAGACTCCAATACAACCAGTTCTATGAAGACATTTGGGTTGAACGTGTATCTGTCACGTAGCTTGTAGTATTTTGATATTGTATTTCCAAGGTTACTCCCGTCCGAGTCTGTGAGATCATAGGCTAAATGAGTTCAGGCTCCTACTGTGCCATGACATCACTCCAGTCTACCAAGGAAGGAATCATTCAAATAGATATCATTCATTCTTCACTTCATTCCACATGCATCTCGTAGATCTAAATGTCCAAATGTCCAAACTCAAAGCTCATCCTTACCCTCCTGCTTCTTCTTTCTCTCCTCCTGCTCCATCCATCCATACCACCCGCCAAGCTCCTCATCAACACCAGACTTAACAAGACTAGTAATAATCTCAAAAGCAACCTGCGCCGCCGCAAGGGCAGTAGTCTCTCCCTTATTATCATAAGCCGGCGAAACCTCCACAATATCCGCACCGACAATATTCAACTTCTCCAAACCCCGCAGAATTCGAATGAACTCCCGCGTAGTCCAACCACCAGGCTCAGGCGTTCCAGTTCCAGGCGCCGTACCAGGATCCAACACATCAATATCAACAGACAGATAAACAGGCTGCTCAGGATCAACGCCCGTGCGCGCAAGGATCGTCTCAACAATCCCCATAGGCCCAAGCTCATCAATATCATCCGCATGAATACGAATGAATCCCTGCTCAGGCCCCGGGTTCGTATAATCCCCCGCATCAACACCAGTAAGCCTCGTGCGCAGTCCCGCATGCGCAGAAGTAGCATTACAAATCAGTCCCTCGCGACTCGCCTTGTGGAAAAATGACCCGTGGTTGAACTGCGTCTGCTCGGACTGCCAGTACGCGCTGTACCGCACCGGATTCCACGTGTCGAGGTGCGCGTCGAAGTGCACGACCGTGATCGGCTTCTGGTAGATCTGGTGCAGAGCCCGCAGTGCAGGTAGCGCAATGCTGTGGTCGCCACCTAGAGTGATGAGCTTGGGGTGCTGGGCGCCGATCCCGTTCGCCTTGGGTGCTTTGTTCACGATGCTGCGGGATCCGAGCTCGAGGAACGCTTCGTACATCTGTCGCTCGGCTAGTCCGTTGTCGAACGGTGTCACGGGGATGTCGCCGCAGTCGGTGATCTTCGCCCAGGATAGGTAGGGGTTGATCCCGGCGCGCGTGTTGTAGCCTGTTCCGGCCATTTGGCGTGCGCTCGCGGCGCGGATGGCGCGTGGTCCGAAGCGGGCACCTGGTGGGGGTTTGTTAGTATTTTGTTTCGTAGGTTTGGTTTGGATGTTGGATGTGGTGGTGGTGAGTCGTACCAGGTCGGTAGCTGACGGCTGTATCAAATGGTGCACCGATAATGGCAATGTCGTAGTTCTCATCGGGCTCGATAAGACACCTGACCGGCTTCAGGTGGGCGAAGCTGGCAATGCCGGAGAAAGTCCACTATAGTTACATGTTAGCAGTCGTTCGGACCTCATTCCTTAGATATTCTAGCATTGGCATACCTCCTGATCCCACTTCTTGAGTAATTCCGCCCGCTCATGTTCGGGCACTACCTCGCCGTTATCGTGGTGCGCGCAGGCGGCCGCGGAGCCGGCCAAAGCCAGTGTGAGGAAGGTTTTCCAAGCAGACATGGCTGAAGTTAATGGGATGAAGTAAAAGAGAAGATGGAAATGAAGAGATTTATTTTTCTACATAACCCCCATCTCGTCAAGTTTCCTGAAGCAGTAGTGTTGTAAAGGGAAAGACGAACAGATAGGGTTGTCCCGATCGTGAAGACTTTCCCTTCTTGGCCGTGGCCCGCTTTTCGGTTTTCTTTCTTTTGACAACTCCTCCGATAGCTTTTATACAAAGTTATTAACGATGCAATGCGGCGAGTCGTTGTAACCGGTCTTGGGGCGGTGACACCGCTAGGTGTAGGTGAGTTGCTTCTTTTTTTTGTTTTGTTGTTTTGGCATCGATAGCTTCGAGGTCATCCTTGGAGCTCACCTGGACATGTGACCGGGTACAATGCATGCAATTACACAATTCGGCAATTATCTGTCAGCAAGACAATGCCAGCACACTCTATCCATCTCTAATTGTCCGGGAGCTCTATCCGATATCCCCGGACTCCGAGCTGTCGAGCTTCTTCGTTCTCCACTTCCCACTCCGGAAGGGGAAGGTCGTGACAGCCAATGAGGGGAATGCGGACCGGGAAGATAAGAGACATTACCCGCCGTATACATACTGGGTTTCACATGCGCATGTTACTGTGACTAACACCGGGTTTGGCTGCAGGGATTCGGCGTACATGGAAACGCTTGTTAGATGGCCATTGCGGCGTTGTGAATGTGAAGGATCGCGATGAGCGCTTCGCCGAGCAACCCTGTCAGGTTGCTGCCGTTGTCCCACAGGGCAATCGCGATAATGGTGGATGGACTGCCTCGGAATGGTTGAGTCGGGGTGTAAGCCAGCTATCTTCACTTTGTGATTTGTGATTTATTTGTGATGCTGATACTTTGGAATGGATAGGATGAGCGGAAGATGGCCAAGTTTGCACAGTATGCTATGGCGGCGACGGAAGAGGCGCTTCAAGATGCGGACTGGAAGCCCAAGCTTTTTGAGCAGAGGGAAGCCACAGTATGTGTGGGAATATGTGAAGCTTGACAGCTATACTAACCATTTTGATAGGGAATCTGTCTAGGATCAGGCATTGGGAATTTTGATGAAATCTACAACACAGTTATTGCCTACGACAAGGGTGTAAGTTTATATCGTATAAGATCTAGGAACATACAGCTAACTTATTGCACAGGGCTACAAAAAGGTCAATCCGCTGTTCGTGCCGAAGCTGCTGATCAACCTTGGCGCTGGGCATATCTCTATGAAGTACGGGTTCATGGGCCCGAGCCATTCCGCAACAACGGCTTGCACAACTGGTGCCCATTCCATTGGCGATGCAGCTCGGTTCATCGCCTTCGGTGATGCCGATGTAATGGTCGCTGGTGGTGCCGAGTCCTGTATCCATCCTTTGGCCATTGGCGGCTTTGCGCGTGCAAGAAGTCTATCGACGGGGTTTAACGATACTCCAGAGAAGGCGTCACGGCCGTTCGACGCCGACCGTGCAGGCTTTGTAGTCGGCGAAGGTGCAGCTGTGATGGTTCTGGAGGTATGTCCTGCCTATACGCATACTACAACCCGATACTGACGCCTAAAGTATAGGAGCTAGAACATGCCCTGGCAAGAGGGGCGCGGATCTATGCAGAACTCAAAGGGTATGGCTGCTCCAGCGACGCACATCATATGACCTCGCCTAAAGAAAATGGTGAAGGCGCGTTTATGGCTATGAAAAAGGCGCTTAAGCAAGCCCAGTTACGTCCTGCTGCAGTCGACTATATCAATGCACATGCAACTTCGACTATTGTCGGTGACGCTGCTGAGAACGCTGCTATCAAGGCCCTCCTGCTTGGCCCTGATGGTAAAGATAAGGCTGCTGATGTGAACGTCAGCAGCACAAAGGGTGCCCTCGGTCATCTGCTTGGTGGTGCTGGTGCTATAGAAGCTTTGATCAGTGTACTTGCAATCCATGAGGTGAGTGGCTGTACACTAGACATGCTGTGCTAGGTTCTTGCTAACGAGGAACAGAATACCATGCCACCTACTATCAACCTAGATCGCTTGGCTGATGGGTTTGATTGCAACTATGCGCCGAAAGATCCCCAGTCACGACAGATCGATGTTGCCTTGACAAATAGTTTTGGTTTTGGTGGCACTAACAGTAGCCTTTGCTTTGCACATTATTCATGATATTTGTTTCTAACATGTATGATATTGTATGAATATTTGTTTGAGTACAACAATGTGTTTTTGGAGCCAGAAGCACGGGCGACTAAGTATGCTACCTTTGACTTGACTATTATTCTATGCTGGTCGGCCTACCATTAATCTTAAAGCCTATAAAGATGAAGCCTCTACTCTTTCTTAGGGCAGCGTATCATTCAATTCTATATGCGATACTTAACGTCCTGAATGCCATCAAATTATAACTCTCTTATTACAAGCTTGGCAGGTGCTGATTTGCCTACAACATAAAAAGAGTCGCTGCCTGATTAATCTGATTGACCAACAATGTACTGTATCAAGAAATTGCTTGGAAGAACATCAGTCTCTACCATTAGCTATTCTCATCAATAGAATTAAATGTTACACGCAGAGCAAAATAGAAGCCAAAGTGCCTATTCAATAGATCAACAGATGGCACGTGACTGATCCTAACGCGGAGCCCAGCCCGACCTTGACTCCGGCGACTGAACTCATTCCTTTATAAACACCCCCACGCCATTTCAAAGGCTTTCCGAGTGACAAGAAAGCGTTCTGTCTCTCGGTACTCTCTCCCTTTGCGCTCACCATGGCGAACAATGGTGACCCCGGTCAAGGTAAGCAATACCTAGTTCCTGTCAAGCGCAAAGCATCTAGGATACTTCGAGATCAAGTTCGGCGCATCGATCTACAAATGATCTGAGCTAATTCTATATTTTTTGACAGGACGGGGAAGTCTTGTTGATGCGTCCGGGTACACTTTCACAGACAAGGATACTAAACCCGGCAAGATCAAGGTGAAGAAGACGTCCAAGGCGTCTACCAAGAAGAAGGCAGATGGTAAAGCTCCCTGGATATGCTTTCACAGGAATTAATGATACTAACAAACTAATAGAAGCCAAAGATGGCCCTATCGATACCTCCCCTACCGCCTCTCCTATTCCCTCCCTCGACAGCAAAGTCGTTTCCGTGTTCCCGACCGGCAAGCCGCGTGAAGATGACCTCCTCGAGACCGTCATCTGCAAGCATTGCAAACGGCCCACTCTCAAGCAAACCGCAGCTGATCATGTCCGCGGCTGCTTGAAGGCCAAGCAGGAGAAGGCGCGCAAGAAGAAGGAAGCCCGCGACGCGGCCAATCGCCTGAAGGCCGGCGATGATAGAGACGATGACGGTGCCGATAAGGCCGACGGAGAAAACCCTAACATGGGTCAGAAAAGCGCCAAAAAGAGCGCTGCCAAGGGTACCGAGGACGGCAACAAGAAGGGCAAGAAGCGCAAGGCCGATGAAGAGGATGGCAGGGAGTCAAAGAAAAAGAAGAAGAAGGATGAGGTCAAGCAAAAGACGGCCAAACCGAAGGGCCCTGTCGATGTCGAGAAACAGTGCGGTGTCACTCTTCCCAACGGCGCGCAGTGCGCTCGTTCCTTGACCTGCAAGAGCCATTCAATGGGTGCCAAGCGTTCGGTTCCTGGCCGGACACTGCCATATGATATGCTTCTCCAGCAGTATCAGAAGAAGAACCAGGCTCGCCAGCAGAGTAAGTTTGCTATTATCTTGTTTATGCTGCTCCTATAGATCACGAGATGACTAACCCATTCGAACCACAGAGGCGGCTATCGATGCCAACGCTCCTCTGCAGGAAGATATCGAGAACACCGGTCCTATTGACTCAGATGAAGAAAGAGACGCTGTCATGGCCGCCATTGCCCGTTCTGCGCCCCAACCCCTTGTGCGCCACCCCGTCATCACCACCAAGTCGAAGTATCGATATGTCCGCATCAAGGAGCAGATGTCGCATGCCATGGGAGTTCGAAACGGCGGTGGACTTTTCTCCAACGAGGAGAGCCAACCTCTTTTCGGTGGTATTCTTTTCTCGACTGTCGCGACCGATTTGGAATCATCCTCATCGGTTGACGCCATTGGGGAGCCTGATATCTCTGCTGGTGGAATGGATGGAAGCAAAAGATCTGCTGTTCCAGGTAGCCGCAAAACCCCGGTCACTTCTGCCTCTTGATTGGCTTGTCAATCAACCTGCGCATATCAGGCGATGATTTATGACGACTCTTTTTTTGTTTGCGGTTGTGGTTTGAAAAGGTTTGAGCTTTTACGGTGTGTACTGGATACTGGATGCTGGCGTTCATGGGTGCAGGAGGACTACTGACTGTACTATTCTTCTTTGATTTCTTTGCATCTTTTTAGTTCCTCGATTTCCCTGGATAGGCCATGGGTACAGGCTGGTTCTGTCTGCTTTGAAAGGTGACGATATGATACCCCGACTGGCGTGATATGTACATTCAAGTTTCGAAAGTTGTTGCGATTGAATACTTTCTACCTCATTGAGCTCTGTCTAATAAATCTGTAAGCATAAATGCCATCTGTAACCATGTAGGACACCCCAATGAATACGCTATGCACTAATAGCCCAGGGCGTGAAGCTATTCAGATTACGTGAGGTGTGCCTGAGGCATAAGGACATCCATCTCATTCCGTTCGCCGATCATCCATTGTCTTTGAGACCTGACAGCATGAGCAAAGCGAGCCATACTATGACCCTTGGGCGATCCTCTTTATTCGTTATTTCCAAAGCCACCTGCAGCTGAAAAGCGTCTGGTTTATATTGTCGCGATTGCGGGCGAGCGCCCTGTGCATTTGCTACTCCACCATCAAGCTTTCCGAGTCTTATTGATTGCAGCTCGACCCCCCTCTCAACTCTGGAAATCTAGGACTATCAGACTCATCCTTGAGCTTCTTACACCATAAACCCAGTCCCTCTGAACCTTCAACTTTTCACAATGAGCCACGCTGTCCCCGATCTAGACGCGATTGGCATCAAAGCCGACCATGACCTAGCTGATCAGTTTCGCCGCGAAGTCGCCAACCTTCTCGGGCGCAACAACCTCAACTTCCCTGGCGCACAACCGGTCAGCTTCTCGTCGCGGCACCTTGTCGAGCTACAGCGGGAGGACTACTTTGTCTGCGAAAAGACCGACGGTATCCGCTGCCTGATGTATTTTGCGCGCGGAGATCCCGACTCCGATATGCCCGAGATTCATTACCTGATCGATCGCAAGAACGACTACCGCTACGTGCCCGGCCTACACTTCCCCCTACCGAACGACGAAAGTTTCCAGGGATACCACGTCGACACCCTGGTTGACGGCGAGCTTGTCAACGACACCTACGAGGATGGAACCACCCAGCTGAAATATCTGGTCTTCGACTGCCTGGTGCTGGACGGGCAAAGCTTGATGCACCGTACCCTTGATAAGCGTCTAGCATACTTCAAGGAGAAGGTACTCAGGCCATACAATGCCATGTATCGCAAATTCCCGGAGGAGAAGAATCACCGCCCATTCGCAGTCGAGGACAAATCCACACAATTTAGTTACGGCCTTGAGATGATGTTCCGCGAAATCATTCCCAAGGTCAAGCGCATTCACGGCAACGACGGTCTCATCTTTACTTGCCGCAGTACTCCGTACCGCATCGGCACCGACGAGCACATCCTCAAATGGAAGCCACCCCAGGAGAACACTGTTGATTTCCGTATGCGCCTTGAGTTTCCGACACTCGAGCCAGATACCGAGGATGAGGCTGATGGTATCACCCAGCCCTACGTGGACTACGACGCTATCCCAACCTGCCACCTGTTCGTCATGCTCAATGCTGGTGAGTACCGTCATTTTGGAGAGATGTTTCTCGAGCCAAAGGAATGGGAAGATCTCAAAGCTCTTGGCATTCCTCTTGATGACACTATTGTTGAGTGCGCCAAAGATATGGAAGGACGCTGGCGCTTCCATCGTCTTCGTGATGACAAGAACGATGCGAACCACATCTCCACTGTTGAAAAGGTTCTTGAAAGTATTGAGGACCGCGTCACTGAAGAGGATCTCATCCGCCTTGCTCCCCTCATCAAAACAGCTTGGAAGCAGCGCCAGCACAATATGGCTGCTGCGGGTGAGGACAAAAAACGGAGAGCCCAAGCTTTGCCACCGTCCGCAAATGCGAATGGTGTCAAGCGGAAATTTGAGGGGTGATGGGAAAGACGTATATAGTCTTTAGGTTGAGCACATGGCTTCTTTCTCGGCTGCTCTTCATCTCTGGTTCATTGCAAGGCGCTTGGCGTAGGTTTGGACTTTGCATTTTATCTACAAGATCATGACAACATGGAAGGGAATGTAAATCCCGCAAACGGGAGACGGTGTTTATGGCATTATCATTTGGGATGGTTCAAGAAATGAAAAGATTTCCCTCCCCCTCTTGTAATATAGTTGTACTCTGTAAATCTTCAGCTGAATGAAGTCCTGTATAGACTCGGGACCCCGATGCGGAACAGCTTACATAACAATCACCCAGTTTGCTCCCTTTCCCGCATCATTTCCCCATCACCAAATGACCACAGTATCTGCTCGATTCCATCATTCCCATCTCTGATATTGCTTCAATCCTAACTTCCAGTCCGACAACATGGGCGTCCGAGATTCCCACGGGGAGACGACGGGGACGCCCGACCCCGTTGACAGAGGGTTCGCCACACTCAACACCATCAGGTATGTCGCTTTTTATATCCAGAATAATTAGCCTTGGGCTTTTTAGGTCGACTTTCATCGGTCGCAAGTGCTAACTGGCTTTGTAGAATCGGTGTGAAAGCCATGGTGCAGAAGGTTCGTTCTGGCCTTGTGGTCGCAGATTTTTGTGTCCATATCACGTGATTATCAATCAGTATGGGCTTTGATACTGACTATTCTATGTAGGACGGAGAACTGCGAAAAGCTGAGATTCTGTCAATCAGACAGCGAAAGGATGGTCCTTCCTTTTAGTATGTTTGCCTCTATTCATATTGTGTCTGTTTTTTTTTTTTTTCGAATTGGTGCTGATATAGAACCCAGCGTACACTATGTCGATTTTAACAAACGTCTTGATGGTAAGTTCCCACTTCCACAAATGCATTCATTTGGACTTTTCTCTGACTCGTTTGTCAGAATGGGTTG